ACAAAACCAACCCACCAGGGGTGGTGGGGGGGTAATATTGGAAGAGTAGAAGCCCACACATTTAAAAGTTGTCAAGGTTGAGAAATACTATTTAAGATTGTTTCTGTGATGTGAAGCTTTTATTCATTTATATTTTCTAACCTAATTCAAGGTTCAGATAGATTTGTGAATAACTGGACCAGTGGTCATTTATTTTTATTTTATTTATTTATTATTAGATTTATATGCTGCCCATCTCTCCCAGAGGGTGACTGGTCATGCTGTAGTAATTCAGGATTAGAGTCTCTGTCCTTTTCTAGACTAAAGCCTGTGAATACAACTGATGAAATTTAGGATACCACATGAATTCTTAGGAGAGCAGGACCCCATTAATTCACTGCGGGGCAGGTTACATGTTCTGCTGGATACTAGGACCTGAAGACTAGTATGCTTACAATGCAGCTCCAACATCTAGGTTTTACGTTACATTTATTAGCAACAGGACAGATGCAAACATGAAACATTCTCAAAGCTTTAGGAATAAAAACCCGTTCATCCAATCAAAGACATTCTGAGACATATGCCATTGACTGATCATGCCTTTTTCCCTCATCTGTTCAATTAGCATTTCCAATTACAGTATTGTTGTTGCTGCTTCCTATTACAATTTTCCATTCCAGGTGTCCAATGGATTCAGTGGGTTTTCAGAGAACACCTGGGGAGTTCCCTGAGAATCTGGTGGGCAGTTTGGTTGAGACCTTGGTCACCCACTGGAATAAGGTGGAGACTAGGGGATTTGACCAAATTGGAACGGCTCTCTAATAGATCAGTTGCAGCTCCTTAGTTTACTGAGAAGCTCAGAGAGATGAAGCTGCAGAGGAGATGCTTGGTGTGTCACTGGAGGAAGATTCATCTCAGATTTGACTGGATGCTAATAAGATGTTTGAGCCTACCCAGTGGCATTTTGAGCAACAAAAAGGAAATATTTTGCTACTCTTATTCCACCTGCTGAATTCCATCCAGAGGCCCTTTTTAAGGTGGCTCATTTTCTTTTTTACTGAAAGATAATCATCAAGAAACATCTGAAGGACTGTTGTGAAGAATTCTTACACCATTTGGCAGATAAAACCACTCAAATTCACATTGAGTTGGTGCTGATGGACATGATTGAGGCTTCATTTTGTGAAGTGACCTGAATCAATTTGTGTCTGTGAATCCTGAAGAAGTGGATAGGGCTCTTTGTAGTGTCAGCTATGTTGAAGTGATCGGATTCAAACAGCAATCAACATTTATTTGAGTGAAGACTATTCCCATTATGTAGAGAGTAAGGAAGGTGACCTTGATGGAGATGTGCAAGTTCCACTGCCAAGGCAATGAGGGGTAAAACATTGTCTAAGTCTAGAACATCCAGATAATGTTAAAAAATGGCTTAGACAGACACCACCCTAATTCACTGAACTATAAGGAGGAGGAAGTACAATATAATCAGAATAGCAAGATTCTGCTATTATAGGGTTAGCTTTTCTGAGGGTTGATTTCTTGGTCTGGCTTACGTAGTGGGGCTGACATATAACATCTGAAATCTGTGCCTCTTGTTTAAGAAGACTTTGCTTGATCCAACTATTTTGGATAGTTTTATACCAGGCTTCAACTTTCCCTTTTTAGGGAAGGTTGTGGAGAAAGCAGTGGCACTGTAATTCCAGAGGACCCTAGAAGAAACAAATTATTTGGACTCTTGGCAGACGGATGTCAGGGTATAGTGGGGAAACTGCACTGGTCACACTTGTGGACAACCTCCTGGTCCTCTTTGATCGTTCAGTGGCTTTTAGCATCTGAACCACCTCTGTGGATTGGAGTGAGGAACCCTGTTTGCAGTGGTTCTCCTCCTTCCTGAGGGGGCCGTTCCAGTGAGTAATGGTGGGGAAGGAGTGCCTCAGGACCCTCAGAGGAGGTGGTTCACAATCAATCAGTAGGTGGGAGCTGTGGCCAGGAGGGCTTTTGTAGAGTAACATCTTGTGTGCTAACTGCAGTCATTCCTGGATCAGGAGACCCTGCTCAGTCATTTATTACTTAGTTACTTAGTTACTTGGATTACTTGACTGAGCTTTACATGGGGCTGCCTTTGGAAAGCAATTGGAAGCTCCAGCTGGTACAGCATGCTGCAGCCCAGGTGGCAATGAGTGTATCTCAATATACTGTGGGAGCTGAATGGGTTGCCAGTTGGCTTCTGAGTGTGATTCAAGGTGTTGGTTGTTAACTGTAAGGTGTTACATAGTTCTGGACCAGGTTTTCTGAGGGACCAGCTTCTCCCATATTCATCTGCCTGTCCGATCAGACTGAATTAACTCCCTCCAGATCCCATATATAAGGCATTGTCATCTGACAGGATCTCACAATTTTTTAACTCCCTCCCCATGGAGTTCTGTTAGCTCCTTTCCTACTCAATTTCAAGAGAGCAGTTAAGACCTGGTTGTTCCATCTAGCACAGGAAGAGGTCATAATGTGAGTGAAGGATGGAACCTGGCAGGCATGTGACTTTATACAGTAGTCCTATGATAACTGGGACCAGGAACTCCTGATAAGCAACGCGGTCATAAGGCGCAATGTCACATGACTGCTCTGACTTATGATGGCAGTTCCGACAGTCCCAGTTGCCGTCATTAGGCGAATCCGAGCTGTCACAGCATTGTGCAATCATGTGATCACCATTTGTGACCTCCTGCCATCTTCCCCATTGACTTTGCTTGTTGGAAGCCAGCAGTGAAGGTCGCAAATGGTAATCATGTGACTGCAAGATGCTGTGATGTTATAATTGAGAGCTGGTTACCAAGTGCCCAAATCACTATCGCATGATCGTGGGGACGCTGTGATGGCCACAACTATGAGGACCTGTCATAAGTCTCCCTTGTTCAGTGCCATCGTAATTTCAAATGGTCGCTAAATGAGTGAACATTAAGTGAGGACTACCTATATATTCTCTGTTTAATTTTTGATGTTGTTAATTTTGCTTATATTCAATCAATTTATTTATTGTTTTGACCATCAGTCATAACAAATAAGATAAAACCTGCACAAAGGTGGCCAAACATTAATAAAATACATTAAAATGTACAAAAATCAGTAAAAACATTAAAACAGTGTTACTGCAACAGGTAAAATATCAGAAAACATTAGGAACTTTTGATAAATTTTTGATATATTAAGGATGGATTTATTATTTTTGAGGGATTGCTTATTTTATAGTAATCTTGATTGTTAGTTGCCCAGAGCCTTCAGGAATGGGCAGCACATACATACAGGTAGTCCTCGCTTAACGACCCTAATTGGGACCAGAATTTCTATTGTTAAATGATCTGGTCGTTAGGTGAAACATCATGTGACCACAACACTACTGACAGCAGTTTCAGTAGTCCTAGTTGTAGTCATTAGGCCAGGACTGCAGTATCATTAGGCCAGGACTTCACGCTTCTCCTGCCCTGCCATGCTGACCTCCACTTCAACTCCCCCCACCTGCCTATCCCCCCCATCTCTGCCCTTTTGGCCACCCTGCCCTCCACCACCCCTGCCTCCCTGCACTCCGCCCTGCACCCTCACTACCCTGCACTCTGCCGCCCCTGCTGCCCCCAACTGACCTTCACCATCTTCTTCTTCCCACTGCTGATAAGATGCATCCAGCCTAGGAAGGTTCAGGAAGGTAGGGGCGGCAGGGGCGGCGAAGACCAGGGTGGCGAAGGCCAGGGTGGCAGGGGCAGTGGAGTGCAGGGAGGCCAAAAGGGCAGAGATGGGAGGATAGGCAGGATAGCTGAAGACCCTGAAGTCTTAAATATGGGCGGGCTACCAAGTGCCCGAATTTTGATCACATGACTGCAGGGGTGCTGCAATGGCTATAACTTCGAGGATTGTAACTACCATTCGTTCAGTGTCATCGTAACTTCGAACAGTTGCTAAACAAATGGTTGTTAAGCAAGCACAACTTGTACACAAACAAACAAACAAAACAACTTTATTTCTAAGAAAACTCACTACTGAAAGATTGTTATCCTGGGCTGGATCCAGATTCAGTCATTCAGTTAACTTGTCCTATTAAACTACTCTAAATGTTATTATGCTGGGATCCAACTTAAGAAAGCCATAGCATAGTAGTTAAAGTGTTGAACAAGTACTGCGAGATCTAGATTAGTCCATGTACAACTACAGAAGCTCAGTGTGTGATACTGAGTGACTGACTGATATATTTATTCATTCTACTTTTATACTACTGAATCAATACAGACTTATGGTAGATTACAAAACAATCAACAAAAGTATCTATGGTGAATATAAACAAATTAAATTAAAACAACCAGTAACCAATCAATGTTACTAAAAATGTGATAAATTATAATAACAGACGTAATGAAAAAACATAAAACAAATCATTAAAAGTTCAAGTAAAATAATATTAACAATTAAATAAATCTAAGTATTTCAAAGTGAAATAAAGACAACAATAAATTCTTTCCACAACTCTCTGTGGAAAACTCGTGTCTTCAGTGGAAAGAAGAGAGCAAGTCTTAGTTCTCTGGGGAGTCTATTTCACAAGGCTAGAACTGCAACTGAGAAACAGTACCTCCTGGTTTCCACTCCTTTTGGGCCAGTCTACCTCACAGGATTGTTGTGGAAAAACTACAGGAAGAAATGCCATGTACACTACTTATTGCTCCTGGAGGAAAGGTGGGACATAAACCTAACAAATAAATTAATTAAAATATGTCTGTAACACAGATCAAGGTCAATGCCATACCATTATTAGACAGAATAGGCTGGATTTTATATATGAGAGAAATGAGTTAAGGACAACTACATGGAACTTACCAACATCTGCCCCACTAAGGCTTTTTCCCAGAGGCCAAGGCCGCATGTCAATGGTCTTTCCGTTAATAATGAGTGACTGAACACACCCTTGAAAGCCATGATTGATTCCTGCAGACCTCACAAGCCAATAGGCAGTGGGAGCACCACCAAGATAGAAGGGAGTCCGAAAAGTAATTTTGCTATATTGACCCTAGAAGCAGAAGGTAGACAGAGAGGGAACAATGATGAGAGATTAGGCTAACAGTAGATAAAGAAGCCACTTTAATTATCACATCTCTGTCTTGCTTTTCCTCCATAGATTTTAGTGGGGCACATAGTGTTCCTCGTCAGTTCCTCATTGAGCAATTTAGTTTTAGCCAAGAGTGGGTTTCACTCTTGGGCAACACCACAACTAGTAAATGTACTATTCTATGATAAAATACTTCTGAAATAAGTCTTATTCCAGCCCCAGGAATCCAAGATTCTTCTTCAGTTGATGTGGAGGTTGAGTCATGGCAACTGGACTCCTTTTCTTTTGGTTAGATACGTTTTGCTGCTTGTCCAAGCAGCTTCTTCAGTCTAGAAGGTTGGTTGGGGGGACCCCACAAATGTTTTCCAGGGTGGCTGCGTTTCTCACTAACATGATGGGCTTGTTGAAGGGACAATGGGAGATGTGATTAGTAGAGTCTTTGGGAAGTGGATGTCTTGCTCCTAATCCCTCACTCATCCCCAAATGGGTCCTTAAGTGCTGCCTCCCTGGTGAACTTGTGGTTTTAATCTTCCCGGGGACTGATGAAAAAGCAGCATGAAAAATGAGAGACAAGTTGTCTCTGAGGCCTCCACCTCTATTGAGGGAAGGATTTTCCA